TTGGCTTCCGGATTGGATAACTCATATAAGTTGTTCGTCAGAACTACATTTTCCTTGCGATCATCTGGTAAGAGTTGTAGGATTCGAGGGTTAAATATGTGCATTGCAATTGCAATTGCAATTGCAATTTCAAGCATCAAGAATGTTGGTTTCCCAGTAATTAGACCAAGGAATTCGACAAAAAACTGCATCCCGGAATACAAGTCTCAAAAGTGTGATATTCCAGAACCTAATTGATAACTCTTATTTTTAAGAGTTATTTCCTATTTATTTCCTCCCTTTTTGCTATTTTTAAATACCCAATTTTCTTGTTTTTATCTTTTATTCCAAAAAGTTTTAAAAAGATGTTGAAACACAAAGGAAGAGGTATTATTCCGAAAATCTGTATTTTTCTAACAGCTATGCCCACTGTGGCACCACTGTGGGAAGTCTTCCAGCCTGGCTAGAGCTTCTTGGGAAACATGCAGCTTGAAGATTCCTCCAGATATTTTTCCTCCAACTGTTATGAGCTGTCTTCCTTATTGTATTTTATTTTCTTTTGTATTTTCTTTAAGTAGTACTAATTACCTTTGGGTAATCATTGGGTGTCCTTCACCCCCTCTTCTCTCCCCTATATAAAAAAGCTTGGGAGAGCTCTTTTGAAGTGTGCCAAGGTGTGCCAAACACCAACAAAACACCATCTTTTGTTACTCTCTAATATGTTTCATCTCTTTTAGTAATATCATAAATGTTTTTTAATTTTATGTCTTTAATTTATTGTCTTTAATTTTATGTCTTTAATTTTATGTCTTTAATTTATTGTCTTTAATTTCCTTGTACTCGTAATTTAGTTTTACATTAATGCAATTTATATTTCAGTATTATTTTATGTCTTTAATTATGTCTAGCTAAATTACTTGTATGGGTGTGGGTGTGAGTTTAACTTAGGATGTTTTTATAATATTTGGGTGTTTTTATCTTTTATCACTTCGTAATGTGGTCACTTAGGACGATGCTTAAAATACGGATAAGATGATCACTTTGAAGTGTTAATATTAGATCTTAGACCCAGAGATGGGCGGATCCGAAATACGGCTTAAGTGATGCACATTGAACTCGAGAGGGTCTTTGAATAATTACGCGGAGACGCGAATTTTGCATGCATTTATCTAGGGGTTAAGCAATAGGTGTTTCATCACAAAGAGATTTGGGTGAAATTTTCATTCCTTTTACTTTTTCGCTAGATCGGCAAGTCTCGAAGTGGTAAACGTAAAAACCTTATGGACTTTTATAAGGTCCGGTTATAAAAGTTCACTTTCGAGAGATCGGAACTTTTATAAACAACTCGTAAAAGTCTAACCATTTTATTGTTRATTTTATCTTAAGCAACACTTGCACCCATGCCCATCATTTAATATTAAAAGTTTATTTCGTTAATTAGCTAGTCGGTCCTATTTCAGTCTTTTTATAAACAAAAATCCANGTGGGAACGATCTCGGTACTTTGTACCACTTTATTACTTGCAAGCGATCATAGTGTCGGCGTGCACTTGCACCGTCCTTGTGGGGATATTCTGCCCACTAGGAGAACACGAACGATCCTAGCCTGTCACTAATGAAGAAGGTATAGAATAGTATGGTTAAGCCATCGTCTGTTAGGAAGCCGATAGCCTCATTCTCTAATTTAGCGGATATCGCATTCAGATAGTTCGATATCTGCGATACTGCTTTYTCAATATCCTTCGAAGACCGCAGGGTAGATGGTTGTTTATATTCAATCGCTAAGGCACCAATGCGACTATCGGTGCGCCCACTGGCAGTGTGCTGGCGGGTTTTATACAAGAGAGATCCTGCCCATTGGATTTAGATTCYGCTAATGCGGGTAGAGATGCGGATAGAGATAGATATATTAGTGTGTACTCGGATGGAAGTGCTGCCTTGAGACCGTACCCGGATCTTTGGAGTCCTTGTTGTCTCCCCAGACACAGAAGGCTCATGAAGTTTTATATCACGGGGTAAGAAACCAATCGTCGAAAGAAAACTTTATATCGACCGGGTTGTTTAATTTAAAGAGCGGTATACCAATACAAACATGGTTATTTGTCTAAAGGGGCTGACCCAAAGGGGGTGTACTTTTCATTGGAGCACACCTTTCGCTAGGAAGGGATCAGTTACGAGTACGAAATGCTTTTCACATACAAGTYGGATAGCGCGATAAGGCAGTTACACTCCTCCGCCTGGCATTCCAGTTCAAATACTAGTGAGGTAGACAACCTCATGTCATGCGTGAAAATAGTAAGGACCTTGCCTACGGGCTCATTGGGACACTCAAGTACGAAGGAATTCTCCACTTAATTAAGGAAGGTTTCAGAGACAGAGGATCAAAGCAATGGAAAAGCAAGGGAACGAGGCGACATTGGACGCTTGAGAATGATGAGTTTGAAGATGGTGATTTATATGTGGGCGTATAAAGATGTTTGGAGTCGGCATTGCGTGTGATGATCAAAACGAGAAAGTAGATCTTTTGGCTTATATATATCAAGTCATGGAACCGCATCAATATTGATGACATGGCACTGTGGTTCTCTTGATCACTTTATTTTACTAAAAGCTTTCAATGATTGCAATATTAATAATTGAACATGATCATCTACAGTTTGCACAGCTGCATTGTTACAAGGGACATGAAACCATCCCTTTCTAAGCATTGCGCAAGTTCGATCTGCAAAGAAATATGTACTTATATATATATATATATATATATATATATATATATATATATATATATATATATAGTTTATTGATTATCGATCTACTGTCTGCATCTTAAACGAACTTTGAAACCACCAAACTTTCTAGACATTCGGCAAAGAAATAATACTTATAGTTTCCACAAAACATAAGAAAATGAAGTTAATTAACATAAGTATATACATAAATGGAGATCATTAGTTGTATATAACAATTATATATAATTATTTTGAAAGGCTGAGTGCAAAAGTTACTTAATCGAATAGGGGGTTTTTCGTCCTAATTTACATATTTAACGATGATATAAATTACACTTGGTCTTTACATAATAATACAATTTGAATAAATAAGAGTTATGGTTCCAATTACAGTTTATCGATGAAAAAAATTGTATGACAGTTTAAAATCCAATATATTTAAAATCCAACATATTTAAACGACTCCACAAATTTGAATCTCACCTTGGGGTGATGGGGAGAAGACATAGAGGTATGAGAAGGTGAAGACATGAGTGAAATGTGTCAAAGGTATTTTGGGAACATGAAAAGAAAAAGTAATAATATGCATTGATAACTTGTACTCTTTGTTATTTTAATTGTAGATTAAGAGATTTTAAGACTAAATGCATAACGTAGTAGTACTTAATACATTATGAGTTGTTTTTAAGACTTTTAAGACTTTGTGCATAAATGTATAGTACTTTGTGTATTAAATTGTTTTTAAAACTTTTGAAAAATCTGGTTTATAGGATAGTATAGATTAAGAGATTTTAAGACTAAGTGCATAAAGTAGTAGTAGTAGTACTTAATGCATTATGAGTTATTTTTAAGACTTTTAAGGCTTTGTGTATAAATGTATAGTGTACTTTGTGCATTAAATTGTTTTTAAGACTTTTGAAAAATATGGTTTATATGATAGTATAGATATAGATTTCTGTAGGGAAAACTTAAAAGTCATCTTGGGGAAAGCTTAAAAATCATTTTGTGTTTTAGATTTCTGTAGGGAAATCTTAAAAGACAAGTACTTTTGTGTTTTAAAAACAAGTATTTCTTGTTTTAGATTTTGTACTTTTTTAAGACTTTAAGACATTTATCAAATTTGATTAATAAGATAGTATAGATTATATTATTTTGATTTTTTTTACTATCTTGTTTGTATGAGTATATTATAGTTGAGTAATTTTTCAAGATGTCATTTTTTGATCATTTTACGTGTTTTTCGGCTAGTTTTTGCCAAACATGATTTATTCATTAGCTAGTTTAATTATCAGCTATTAGCTAGCATATCAGCCATCAGTTAGCTTATCGAATAATTCGCCACACATAACCTACGCTCAGGAATACGTTTCTTTGCCAATATGATGGTCAGTCAAAGTTTATGTTATATTTGACAAACTAGTTGATAAGCAAGTTGATAGCCAATAAATTAGTCAGATAAACTAGCTGGTTGCTGATAAACTTGCTGACGATCAAATTGTTTTTGACAAAAAGTAGCTGATAAGCATGTAAAATGATAAAAAAAAACATCTTAAAAATTGGTCAATTTTAATATTTTATAATATAATTAAAAGAAATTTTTTATAATATACTATATTAATACAAACAAGATAGTAAAAAAAATTAAAATAATATAATATAATAATTAAAAGAGTTTTAAATTAATTATTATATATTAATTATTATATATTAAATAATGAAAGTTTTGAAAGTTAGTTACCTAAAATAGCAATAAATGAAATGTTGATTTTATTTTGATGCAGTTTTCTTTATAGAATAAATAAAAGATTGAATATTTATAACTTTTATTAATCTCACCAAAAACCATAACCATTAGGATTGCATAAAAACCGGACCAACCAAATTCAATTCGAAATAGCCCAACCCGAACCAACTCAATGTCTAATCGAGTTGTAAAATCTTCAAACTGTATATATTGAATTGAAATCGGATTACGGTCATTTGAATACAATCCAACCCAATTGACTGATATCTTTCTTTTTATTGGGTGATATAATATGATTGTTAACTCTCTTATTCATATGTACATTAGACTATTAATTAGACTATCACTCTATTCATATGTGCATATACTTGAAATTTTTTCTCTGCTTCTGTATAATTCTTGCATTTATTTTCGTATATATGTTCAATAAATGTAATCATATATATACAAATTAAGAAAAAAAAAACAATTGAATGTGAAATACTTGAGAAATATGGATAAACTATACCAATTAATTGATGAAATTTTAATTGAGTTGTCTATATTTTTTCTACACTTTGTCCAATAAGAGCTAATTATAAGATATCAGTTTACCTTTCGTCCAATAAAATGACGATAAGAGATCTTGTCATAAAATAAGGACGCTATAAGTGGTTAATAAGAGTTTCCAGCAGAAGGTTTCTTGGTGACTATCGGACTCTGAGAAATGGGATGAGATCGACAAGGAAGTGATTGTGATTACATCTCCCCTACATACATACGTCAAGAAAGTCAAATCTTCGATCAGCAATGTTTTATAACTAATTAGTGTAAATGTAGTGTGTTTTGTAAGTAACATAAGCCTTGAATATATATGGAACTGTATAGCTAGTAAATCTCTGTTTGATATTTTAAAACTTGGAAATTACATCCATCCATAAATAACATCGCCACTACTAGAAAAACAAAGTATCAGCGATGGAAATTAATTAGCGACAGAAAAATCCCTTGTTGAATTGACCAAAAGCCAGTTCCCTCGTTGATCCCTCACTGATCAACGAGGGAATGGCCAAAGAATATTATTTGTGTATTCAAATTAATATTTTTTGTGTTAATTGTGACGTTCTATAGATATAAAAAACGTGAACAGTGACATCAAAGTGGCTGTCATTTTGGGTTCTAATAATTAAAACCAAGGCAATAAAGAAATTTAAGAAAATAAAAGTTTCYAAGTCTTTTTATTACATTATATGATCTTGAGACTAAAAAGTTAGATGAAAAACATGATATATATGGATACTGTGTTTATATATATGGTTGGGTTCATGTGAGATCAAAGGTTTTTCGTGAGACCCGTAAGACCAATTTATGTTCATTGATCAACTTTATAAGCTAAAGATCTAATGGTCTAAAGTTGCACAGTGTTAATTTTGTGATTATTGAGAAGTCACGTGGCAATTTTGTGATTATGAATGTTCAGATTGTAGATCTAATTCAAAGGTTGAGAATTGGTCTAACGGGTCTCACGAAAAACCATTGGTCTCACATGATCCCAAATCTCTCTCTCTCTCTTTATATATATATATATATATATATATATATGGTTGGGCTCACACCAACTTGTTTTAGTAAGACTCGTGATATCGTATTTTGACATTTAAAACTTCACAGCAAAACTTTTTGAAGGTAAAAGAACAACCGAACCTTCACAACAAAAACACTGTGAAGGTTACTTCACAATATTTAACTGTGAAGTTTCAAGTGTAAAAAGGTGGTGTCACGAAAACAGACTGGTTTCACATGATCTCAAATCTATCTATCTATATATATAGACTTGGGATCATATGAGACCAATGTTTTTTTGTGAGACCCGTAAGACCAATAATCAACCTTTGGATTAGATCTATAATCTCAACATTCTTAATCACAAAATTTGCCACGAGAGTTCTCAATAATTACAAAATTGCCACCGTGCAACTTTAAACCATTAGATCATTAGTTTATAAAGTTGATCAATGAACATAAATTGGTCTCACGGGTCTCACGAAAAACTCTCGGTCTCACGTGAACCCAACCCTATATATGTGTGTGTGTGTGTGTGTATATATATATAATTGAGGAGGGTTTGGAGATGAAAAAGAAAGTACCTTTTACATATAGCTTAGGTGCAACAGCAACTATATGTCGACTTGCTTGGCGGAAAGCTCTAAACAAAGGTTGTTGGTCTGATGAAAAAAAGGATGAAGTAATTAATGCATGAGTTATTATTAATGTACATCCACTTGCACCAAGTAATTAATATATACCAGAGTTAGCTGTTGCGGTTAAAAGTAAGTGCTTATCGTGTCACTTTACCTTATCGAATGAACATAATAAACATTGATTATCTTACTCGGTAAGAACGATAACAAGGACCGAGAGTATTACCCAATAAGTGAGGAAAAAGACTCTTACCCGGTTTTAGACTCTCACCAACAATCTATTTTGATGGCCGAAAATGTTACATGATAAGGTAAGTGTAGGTATAAACATTTGATAAATGTCCGTTTAAGTGTTGGATTGTAGGCGTAGATCTCCGCTAGCTATATATGAGAAACATGATAACAGATATTTAACAAATATTAATACCACATACCTACATAGTTGTGGATACTGTTTATACCAAAAAAGTGCATTCTCGATAGTTGATATTCTCCAGGAGTAGTAGTTTGAAAAGGAGAGAGATCCCCACCGATTATATGATTCCATGACTTGTAATATCCCAAACCATCATCTTCTTCATCTTCATCTTCATCATACACAAGACTCACCCCACACTCACTTATAACAAAGTCATTAGCATCCAATATAACAGCAATTTGGTCACCATCTTCCATCTCATTCTTCCCAAACATCCAATGGCTTAAATATGTACTTATACCCTCTTTAGTTTCCTCACAAGTCATCCAAGATTTGTATATCCAAGTGCGATTCTTTGTTATATTACTAATCTTGATATCTACGAAAGAATACAGACTCGCATTTGGCACCCCATATACAAAACATAAATTCAATCCTCTAAGGTTGTAAGGAGATGATGAGATGGTAAATGATATTGATGACCCCTCCCTTCTATCACTTATCCAATTCGGCATCTCTTTCCCCCTATAATATGAGCTGAATATCCCATATTCATACACCATCTGTCAAATAAAAGCTTCATTAATCACACAAATGAAAATATAGAGTTAATTAATATTAACGAGAACAAACCTTGACTTTAGATGTTCCCTTCACGGGCTGAATTTTGGTGAAGTCTAAATTAGTCCACCCCAAACTACGTAATACCTCTTCCTTAACATCTCCCATATCTTCCTCTTTGAACATGCCTTCAATACAAGACCCTGAATACGTATTCAAATTCATAACAAGAAAATCTAATATGATTGGGGACATTTCTCGATCAAATACAACTTTCCCTTCCTTATTATCTTCACTAAAACCAAATCTCAGTTTTTTTAGTGTACGTGGAGGATGCTCCAATGTCTTCAGACTACGACACTTTTGAATACTAAGTTTCTCAAGACCGGGAAGGGTTCTTACACAATTGGGCAGTGAGACTATTGCATTACCATCTAAATACAACTCCTTCAACATGGATAGGCTACTCATGTCCATTGGAAAGGATTCGTTGGACAAATTATTGTCTTCTAGTGACAAACATACTAATGAACGCGGTAGATAAATCAGATAGGACTCGAAAGCTCTTGGTATAGCCTCCACAATGGCAGATGAAGAAGAGATTTGTGAGTTCATGCCAACGTTAACATACTTCACCATATCCCTCATCTCGACCGGAGATTCACCAAGATTACAACCATCTAGTTTTAGTATTTTCACCTTCGTTAACTTGCCTATCGTCCTTAAAACCTTTCCAGCCTCATTGCAATGACTCAGATCAATGAGCTCAAGTCCATCACATTGCCCAATTGATTCACAGACCTCCATCAAACTTGTGCAGTTTACAAGTATTAACTCCTCAAGTGCAGGGAATTCGATAAAGCCACCGAGACAACGAAGCTGTGTACAGAAACTTAGATTAAGAATCTTCAATGATCTAAGCAACCGTTTGCCTTTTGAGCATGAGCCACTTAACTGTACAAATGGAGATAAGGTGGATGTTAAGTGAATTGCATTAACCCAACATACATGAATAATAAAAATTCAAGTAGATGCTACAAGTTTCTTACCTTTTGCCTCTTCCCAGGTTGTTGTGGGTTACAATCAGACATGTCAAAAGATTCCAAATTGCTGTAAGMCATGYCAAGCACAACCATATTCTCCATTGGTAAGTCTAAAGGTAAAGACTTTAAAGGGAACCCATGCATACACAACCATCTTAATTTTTTAGGGAAATTCTTATAAGATCCATTGAATTTCACATAATTGAGTTGTAGTAGCATTAGATTATCCATCTTACTCAATGCATCTGTTTCCAACTCAAACAATTCACATATGTCCTCTTTAAGCATTCCCATGTCAAGAACGAGGCCTTTAAGTTTTCCCGAACCCTAAGAAGAAAGTGAATGTTAAACAAACTAAAAATCCATATATAAGTGTACATAGATAATACAAATTACTTACAATTTGCACAATTCACTACAACAAAATTGGGTTATAGTACGTCACCAACTTCTAAGCGTCCCAATAAACTTGATTTTATAAGATTTTTATAGGAACAAAAACAAAAGTGTTCTATCTAAAGGCGTCGTAATAAATTTATACGAAACTTTTGGACATTTTAAATACAAAGCGTTACATTAACTATTTTATAGGATACTTTTGTGAAAGTGTCCTATAAACCCATATTTTTATAGGACATCTGTTTTTATAAGGTACTTTTTCAAATAATGTTCTGTAAAACTGCTAATATGATGTTCTTTTATAAAAGTGTCATAAAAACTTGTTATGACACCCAAACTGTCATAAGTACTTATTACAATGATTTTAGGTAGCACACTTTATTTTTGGGTCTTATATATTAAATCCTATCACCACAAAACAAATGAATTTACCCACAAAAATCACTCAGTGAAATTTTTGTCTTCACCCAACAAATACCGATAGTTTGGTAAAGTCAATGTTTTCGAGAAAATACCAATTGATCACCCACACTGGGTAATCTTTCACTGATTTGAACCACCAACAATTTACCTATCAACTTTTGTGACGGTTTGTGACAAATCACCCTTTAGCGACAGACTTTTCCCAGATAAAAGTCTTTCATTTAGTAGTGTATAAAGCAGTCTATTAAGACGCTTAAAAGTTGTTGGTGTCCTATAAACCTAATTTTGTTGTAGTGATGATGACAAGTATGTATGGCATGTTACCTTGTTTTGTTCCAACACATTGAATGATTCCTCATGACACCATAATCGACTACGCTTCCATGGCTTGTTTGGTGATTCTTGGCGTACTACATCTCTTCCCATCTCTTGAAGCAACTGATGCATCTTTAACTCATTCCTTGATCCGATCGTAAGAAGACATCTATCAACGAGATTTGTGATCCCATGAAGTGTGCGAATATTACACGCCTTCAATATTGTTTCAATGTAGTTTCTATCTTTTCCAACAAAAAAACAAGCAATATGCTTAAACAATTCCTTATCGTTGTTAGATGGCATAGAGTCGAAGCTCATTTGCAACACTTTCTGAATACGGGAATCCGTTTCTTCCTTTAGACCTTCTATGCGCTCCTCCCATTCAGCTACATCTCTTTTATGCAAAGACTCACCCAAAACTTTAAGAGCCAATGGATGTCCTCGACAATATGCCATAAGCTTTTTCGACACTTCTTCGTAACCTTTCTTAGGATTGTTGCCCTTAAACGCATGATAACTTAAAAGCTGTAGCGATGCTTGCGCATCTAAGCCTTCAAGAAAGAGCTTCGTATGCTTGGGTTGAACTATTGGATCGAGTAGTGCATATTTCTCATTCAATGATGAGTCTTTAGTCGTTATGATAATTTTGCTACCCGGATGAAAACCTTTCTTTCCAAGTAACGCGTCCAGTTGTTCGAGACTATCAATATCATCAAGAACTATAAACACCTTTTGACGAGCTAGTGCATTCTCAATCATAGAGGTGTATCTGAAAACATCATGAATATGAATGGGACTTGTTTTTGAAATGTCGTGAGCAAGTTGTTTTTGTAAATCAAGTAGYCCATTAACTTGTTGAGTACATTTCTCATTGACACCTTCAATAAAGCTGCTTCTATCGAACAATCGACAGTGTAACTCGTGAACATATCTGGCCAAAGATGTCTTCCCTATGCCGCCCAAACCAAAAATAGTGAGAATATCAGCGGTATGCAATGATCCGTCTTTCAACCATGAAGTGATAAACTCTATAGACTTTTCCATCCCACAAAGAAGCGGTAGAGCACTCCTTAAAGGTACACCTAATCTATGGTAGATGTCCGTAACGATTTCTTCAATAAACTTAGTCTCTGGCCTGAAATTGATTTTAATGAAAACTACAAATCAATTATTATTTTAATCAAAGTTCGTTAATTAACATATTTAAAAATACATAAAAGAGATGGCTATTAAATTTATGATCATGAAATAAACACAGAAATGCTTAAAGAGAATGTAATATTGAAATTGTACGTAGAAAAATGGGTAAGAAGGATCGTTACCATCCYTTTGCATCCTTCCCYTTTAAATYAGCAACTTCTWCAAGTGCTTTCTTCCATTKATTCATCTTCTCAACCAATTKACRTTTTTCCTCCTCATTCGTCTCMGCTTCCATCCTCTGTTTATGTTTTGCCATAGCAATTCCAAAGCTGCGTTGTTGCTTCCGTACATCGGTGGGCTCGACATGATAGAAGATGGGGATAACCATATGGCCGGAGGTCCTCTTTTGATCAAGGATCAATACCAATTCATCGAGACACCAGGACGAAGAAGCATAATTCTCAGACAACACAATAATAGCATAATTCTCAGACAACACAATAATAGAAGCTCTTGATGCTTTGATTGCAGTCTCCAATTCTGGTTTCAGAGATAGTCCGGTTTCGATCTCTTCATCGTCCAAGAAAGTAGTGATGTTAGCGTTGAGGAGCGCCTCATGGAGGTGATCCGTGAAATTAAGACGAGTGTCGATACCTCTAAAACTCAAAAAGACGTCATAATTATGATGATTATCAGTTGATGAAGATTGTTGTAACAGTTCAGAGAGAACAACCATTATAAACTATATGGGATTGGGAAGGTATGATTGATTTGAGAGATGAGAGGAGGAGTAGGATTTAATCATAAACATGTGAAGAATAATTGATGGTAAAACATGGGGATTTGGGTGATGGTTGGTGACAGAGAACCAACAATGCAGACATCAATGGTGGTTAGGGTTGTTCATGGAAGAAGACGATGGGTGTTTAATGGAACCCATTCCTTCCGACACAAATATTTTCCTTTTTTTTTCTTTTTAGGTTTATTAATATTTATGATTTAGAGTTTTCATTTTGCAAAAATATTTAATTAAAATAATTGTAAATGTTAATATGTGTTAAGAAATAACATTATAACGATCATTACTTTTTAGTTATCTTTATGAAATATCGTTATTTTTATTATGAAGCTATTTTAATATTAACTACATTTAGACTATGTTTAGTAAGATAGTTGATAAATAAATCATATTTTAACAAAACCAATTGATATGAATGTAAAATGATAAAAAAATATATTTTAAAAAATTAATCAGTTATATTTAATATATAATTGAATTAAATTTTTAATGATATAATATATCAATTGATACGAATAAGATGGTAATTTTTTTTAAAAATATAATATATGATTATTATAAATATTATAATATTTGAATTTGTACGGAAAAAGAAAGACGTGGTAAAAAAAACAAAGACGTGGTCATGTTTGGTCCAAGGAAAATAGGATTTGTTGGAATTTGAGAGGGAATCCAAAGTGTGATTGGTGGAAGTCATCATATCATCTCATGCTTTAGGCACAGGCTAATGGCACCCCATCTTATACCAATGGCACCCCTATATTTAGGTTATCATTTCATTTTTTATTATTTTATTATTTTTTCTATCTTTTTGTTGTTTTTTTTTTTATATTAATTTTTTTAATTATTTTATAATAAATAGATACTATAATCATGTTTTTTTTTTT